TAGTTTATGGATTAAAAATGGAAAACATAGGATGTCATGTTTAGTGAAAGAGGTCACGTATACATCGTAACTATATTTTCGGAGATGTTGACTTATAACTTCTGCGTTATTCCGACATACTTGAATTTTATCACAATCTTTTTATATGTCTTTAAGTCATATGATGTATATTTATCAATAAGTCATTTTAATTAATATTTAAATATACTCTGAAATATCTATTTAAAAATGACTTTAACTTCGTTTTGGACTGGAGTCTGTGCTAATGCTTGAAAGTCATTCTCTACACTTTGTTGTTAAATTACAGTATAAGTATTTAGCTCGTTTAAAATTCCATTCATTCCTTAAACATTTGTTGCCTTTGTTTAAACATGCAAAAGATCGCAGCAGCCAATTATTCAATTAAATCAAGTCAGGATTTCAAACATTACTTTGACGTTTTGTACATTTGGAGAAAAGAATGTCATTCACAGACAAGCAAATCATTTCCTAGTTTCTTTCTGTATAGCCAGACCATTAATACTTCTTAATACTATTTTCAAGAACAGAGAGAGAAAACACAAGGTGATTGAGACATACATGTACACTTTTATAAATCAATACCAATACAAAAACCATAGGACCAATACTAGGTCTATGTTAAAGCGAAGCGTCTTTATTGCTTAATCAGCATTTTTTTTCAACACCTAGAACAATTGCAGTATATATTAAATATTCAAGATCAATTACATAAAAATATTTGTATTTTATTCATTTCAAATGTCGACATTACCATTTTCTATTTGATATTTCTATATTGATGTTAAAAAAAAGCAAAACATTTTCATCGGATTGTAAACTAACAAAGAAGAGTATATGCATGTAGTTTAAAAATTTACATCACCTTGAAAGGTCTTTTTGATTTGGGTTATTTCAGTACCTTTCAAGTATAATTCAAGTTATTTCAAAAAGAAAAAAGTCATAAAAGCATTTTTTTGTCAAACATTAACAAAATTTCACTACATTAACACTAAATAACGATCGATTTTGAGAAACATACAAAGTGTGTATAATTATAATAATAAAAATAATTATTATAATAATAATAATAATAATAATCAACTGCCTGAAGTAATTGTGCAATGTCACAATTAACTTATAATTTCTAAGTTATCTTATATAATGAATTTATTTAGTTCGCCATTAAAACGCCATACCAGTATCCAAGAACAAAATTGGAAAGGAACATCATTTTTCTTTACATATGCGTTAATCCATTTAGTGTCGCTTTACTGTAGTTTTGGTTATTTTACTGACATCTTCGGTGACGGTTTTGTCTTTAAACGAATCAAATACAGGGAAAGAAAAAAAAGAAAGCAAAATTACTCTTCCCATTTCCAATTCAATTCAATTTATTTACAAAATGCACAAGTCCCACAATAGCGGGAAAACATCAGCAGCATACATACATAAACATATACAAATACATAATGGAAAACGGCTATATTACATTCTTAGTATAATAGTAATATATAGTTACAATTTGGTGAGAACAAATATATATTATAGTAAAATATTTAGTATGACTAATGGATCAAATGGAACACATTTCATAATAACCTGTACAAAACGAAACGAAAGCCTATCGAAAAAAACAAACACGAAAGATATCCAGGTTATAAACAGGTTCTAACAATTTATCATTCATTTCAGTATCAATTGTTTGTAATGAAACAGAAATTTTCATATTTGAATCTTAGATTTGCTTGAGAAAAAAAATAATATGTGCGCAACGTACTTATAGCATAAAGTTTGTAATTTAATACTTAATGTAATAGTGTGAAATTATATTTATTATACATATAGCCGAGATGACATAGTATTTCAAATATCTTAAGATATTATACTTTTCAAATTTCAACAAAGGTGATTGATTACATGTTGCATAATTTCAACATCTTTATGAAAGAGAGAGACAGACTTATATTAAGTACGTATAACAAAGAAACAAATTTTCCTTTAAATAATTCAAATGTCAAATAAATAAATATATTTATATGCTTTAGTCAATATATAATGATTAATTTTGTATATTTAACAATATAAACTTAACTATTTCATGATACACAAGAAAATGAAAATAATGCAATATATTTGCAGCATAAAGAGCATTTTTGTCAGTAATGTCATATCAGAAGAATAGTAAATATTCTAAATTTTCTAAAAATGTAGTATTTTAATGTTTCATATTTTTGACATATAAGTTTCAGTGAAGTTTCACATGTTTTAACATATAAGTTTCAGTGAACCTTTCATAAACATCATATGTGAACTATGTGAATAAAAATTACAGAATATACTGTTTATAAACAGAAATCATTAATATCTAATACATAAACATTGTATATTAGTATGTTGACATGTTTCATCTACCAATACCTTAATCTACATCCAAACTGACGTATCAAATTAAGCCGGTGTTTCAGAGGGCGATTGTTGGCCAATAATATCTTTGATTTTAGATTCAATGACATCAAAGTTTCAAAAACTTATTAATACATGAGCGGGACTGTCGAAAGTATACATATATAATTTTACTAAATATATAGACAATGTTTTCTTTGATGACAGAAATGTATTCACAATCAGATTTATATATTGAAAAAATATTTAAACGCATGAGTTAAGATCTTTGTAAAGGTTTTTCTGTGGTTTTAGAGACAATACAGCGCAACACTTGATTTGCAATATTGAGTTTTCCAAACTTTATTTATAAAAAATATACCCTTTAACATTTTCATGTAAAAAAAGGGAGGAAATTTAGAAATTTATTTTTCTAAAATTCTAAAAATTTTTCCAAATTAAGAAATGGCCTGTAATTTTTTGTTTAAATATATTCACAAAATTTTTCAGTACACATTTTACATATTCTTCGATGTTTGAAAATTATTTTATTTGCATAATTATATGCATATATAATTTTTTGCAATTGTGGTATACACACAATAACAATATCAATCACAAAACATACAGGATCTTTAAGGTTTTTGTAAAGGTTGGGGTTACTGAGGTTTCGGGGTAGAGACCAATCACAGCGCAGAACACCTGTGCTTCTGACAGTACTCTGAGTTTTGAGCACTGTATATTCAATACCTGAATAAAATATGAGTTTGCATGTTTTAATAGTATACTTGTTAACCTTTAAAAGACGTTTCATTGTATCTAAATGCAGTTACGATATTCATTTATTCCACGCAAATTGCATTTCAAATGACCAATTGCAAGTTATTAAACCCCGCTGATAAAATAGGATATTTAATGGTTTTGATCTTCTATGTATTTGTTCGTCCAACAGTCCGTTGCAATATCTCCTTATCGGTTTGGGTTTGTCCAATTCTTTAATATTGGGGCAGAAATGTTTATATATACAGGGGAGTTAATGAAGATCACCTAGTTTTATCAAACTCCATCAATGGTTTTTAAGTCATCGCCCTTTGTTATGTTAAAAGGAACATTTCTACAGTTGTTGAGGCAGTAGCCGATTTTAGAGTATAGCTGATAGCTTGTCAGCTTTATTGCTCTTTCAAATCAACAATGTCTTTTTAAAATGTAAACAAATATACGAAATAAAAGAGTGACATTTGCTCCATCCATAGTAATTCTTCTCCACGTTTTCAATTCGCTTTGCAAGTTTTTCTTGTACTAGGCAGAAGCAGTCATATAGAAGTTTATGCATAACGGCGTTTTTCGGACCAATGTTAATTCATCAGTAGTTAAAGCAATGAGATATTGAATTATTTAATGCATGAACTATTTTCTTGCCATGTCTAACAAACATTTTTCTATTAAACATATAAAGTCATTTAATATCCTTTAAAATAATCAGCAAGTGTTTTTGTTTGTCACAATTAGTACATATTCTGTACTGTTGAATGCTTTTTAAATGCAGTTAATCATGATCAGTTAAATTTCTGCCACAAAAGTTAATTAAGGTTTACATTATTAAAAAAACAGTTTAGTTCTACCACAGCTTTATACCATATACCTTGTCATTATTTTCCTTTATTTTATAATTCCAAAACTTGTTGTACAATCTTATGAAATATAGAAGCGCTTATTCTATAAAACTTGTTTTACAAGTAGAAAAACATTCAGAATAACTATAAAATGAAAAAATAAAAAATAATTCCAATTACCCCTAAACATGTTCACAAATATGCTACATTTACTTTTATTAATGACATGTTTTTAGTAGGGCTGGCAACGAATACCAAAATTAATACTCGAGTACTCGGTCATTTTTCCGATCGAGTACTCGGTTACTCGGACGATTTCCAATGATCTTCAAAGTTTAACACACAATATCAACACCGTCCGCATGCTACTTTCGTTATTATTTACATTCATAGAATTCGTAACTATAGATAGGAACAGAACAGAACAGATAGGACTGCAAAGGAGACAAATTAATTAAAATTAAATCAACGACATTATACTTTAGAACATTTTAATTAATGCAATATCAAGTTTACCACATGTTTAGCAGTTGAAACATCTTTTTCTTCTTGTAATAAAATAGACTGATCGGCGGCAACAAAAGTTTAACCGGGTCTAAATACTACCTTAATTATTATATCATAATAGCAATACGGCCCTTTGTTGTTTTCAAAAATGTTACCTTGTACAAACTGCATTGTGTTACACAATTAAAGGTTACTAATTCATAAGAGGCCGGATGACGTAAGCGACACCTGTGCGCGTGTCAAACTGTTGATCGCCTCATTAAATTTATGGTATCATTTTCACACCTCTGCAAGGAAGTTTGTGATTGCATTTTAACAGTTATTTATGAAGGTATATACCATATACCGTCATTTTTCCTTTTTTTGATAACCAAATTTTTGTAAATTATGAAAAAATAGAACATTATAAAATTTTTTACAAGTACATTTGAATAATCAGTATTGTTTAACCGATTCGGACATGTTCACGAAGTATCTTTCGTTACCGTTATTTGACATTGTTTTAGACTGCTTCAGATCCCCTATCCCCTACTTCACAAAAGCGATCCGTTTCAAACTTCATTATAATGATGCACAAAATAAACGAAAATTGATACATTAAATGTATTTACAATTTGCTAAAAAATGTTTTAAGCAACAGCGAGGCATCTGTGTTAAAAATGATAAATTATAAAAGCGAAATGGATTTTATGGTTATTTTCACTGAATAATTGCATTTTATAAATAAATGTACCCAGAATTAGATACTGAACTGCCACGGTATAATTCAATCAAAATGATATGGGAGTATATCGTTGAGGTCATTATACATATGTTTCCCAATAATGGCATTTTGTTTAAGATGAACTGTAAGTAAGAAAGGATTTCTGACAAGAACTGAAAAATACAGCACGTAACCTCATTCAATAATGTGAAATAAAAATGTCATTAAACGTTGTTGAACACAATACTGATTCTTTTGAATTAGTACACAGCTGCTAGCACCTCGTCTAATAAAGGTTTGACAGATGTTTACTTGTCCAATAAAAATAGATATTGAACTCAAAAATGTATAATAACCTCACATTAACTGTTTTAAGGAATGGGTAAAATGTATTTCAAAGTGTTTGTGGAAGTAACAAATTCAATGAAAGTTTATACATTTGTGTAATAGAAATAATTTTGATAAAAAATATGTAACAACGTATGTAAATTGTATATACATATAAATACAATATAAACACAACTCGATTTATTCTCCCGAGTGGACAATGGTTGCACCATATTTACACACAAAACTTACAATGATTTGCAAAATGTTAAACTTTATAATACTCTCTATTTAATCTTTCATATTTATGAAAGATAAAAGCGTGTCTATGTTAAGCTGTAAATTAAATTATAGAAAGAAACGTTTGGCGTATTTTAACACATGCATTCAATCTTTTTGTTACAACATAGAAAATTTCACAACCTTGTGATGGTCAATACTTGATAGTCTTATTACTACAGTATATAACTGAGCAAAGGTCCTCCACAATGTATATGAACAAAGGTCCTCCACAATGTAAGTGAACAAAGATCTTTTACAATGTAAATGAACAAAGGCCATTCACAATGTAAATGAACAAATGTCCTCCACAATGTAAATGAACAAAGGCCCTCCACAATGTAAATGAACAAAGGTCACTACAATGTAAATGAACAAAGGTCCTCCACAATGTAAGTGAACAAAGGTCCCCTACAATGTAAATGAACAAAGGCCATTCACAATGTAAATGAACAAAGCTCCTCTAAAATTTAAATGAACAAAGCTCTTCCACAATATAAATGAACAAAGGTCCTCTACAATGTAAATAAACACAGCTCCTCCACAATGTTAATGAACAAAGGTCCTCCTCACATTTAATGCTTATGTATCTGAAATATAAAAAATCATCATTTAACACTACCTGTTTAGTTGGCATTAATAATAATAATAATACTAATACTACTACTACTAATAATAATAATAACAATAATAATAATAATAATAATAATAATGATGATGATGTTGACAACGACGACGATGACGAAGATGATAATGATCAAGAAATGATAATAATAATTATTATCATTATTATTTTGTTATGATGAAAATATGTTGTTCTTTGTTTTTTTATTTATTTTTGAAGAATATATAAATTGATGACTAGTTGACGGTAATATTGTCATTTGCTGTTATATGATAAATATTTATTCATTCATTTCAATTTGGTTATATTATATTACATTCTAACACTATCGGAAATTTTCCAATATAGACATAGAAGGCCGGAAGCGCGCATTATTCTACAACAATGCACTCGCCGTTCTTATTACCTCCCTGTGTATTTCCAAACCGACACATTGACGGCGCAATTTTGTTTGAAAAATCTGATAAATAAATAACAATTTTTTGTCGAATTTTGTTGTGAAAACTATATAGAATGAAAGAAAATGGTTTAATCTGAACACCAATATCTTTAATTCAGTCGTTAACGCTGTACAGAAGTTTAAAGTGTTGTTTACGTGACGTCACAAGGTAGCGCCAAACAACACGTGCAAAACAATCAAAAGAACGCTATTTCAATGTCGCAAACGAGTTAAATTTAACATTTATTTGGTTTAAACATATTTATTGCATATATTTTAATCATACATTATACATACATTCAGTTTCATAACCATATACTAACATAATACACGCAAAGGATTTTGACGGAAGCACTAGGTGCTTATTAAAGTCAATCTTCATTATTGATAAATTACAATAAAACTAATACATGGCTGGTAGATCTATGAGCAAGTAAATAGCATATAAAAATGTGTACCACAACCGCTTCTATTGATTGTATACACAATATTTTTGAAAAAATACACAAAACTAGGTTATGTGGTAAGGCACTTGCATTATTTGTAATTGATAGATATTTCAATATAATATATTAATAGAAAAAAAAATAAAGAAAGAGAAAAAGAAGAAGGAATATTAAGATGAAAACCAACGTTTAGAGTTGAAGAGACAAATGATTTTTTAGCATACGGACAGTATAAAGACAATGATTATTTTTTAAGTGTTTACCAGTGTAATTGTTAAGTCGTAGACAGTACTTTGCAACATTTACTCGTCATGCAAACCTCCCACTATCCATTATGTATTTTTGGACAGCCAGAAATAACTCCGTATTGTCTGATTGAGAAAGAGAAACATCCCCAAACAGAAGAGTATGAAGAGAGACATTTTTAGTGATTTGACGCACTTTTGTAAGAAGGCATGTACGGTGGCAACTATAAAAGTGGCATTCGAGAAGATAGTGAAAGTTGTTTTCAGGTTGTCCACAATGGCAAAGGGGAGATTGGACTATATTACGAGTGAAAAGGTGATGATTTAGTTTGCTACAATTCATGCGAAGCCTAGCATGTAAGACCTGTGCCATTCGTGATCCGCTGTAAAAATAAGCGGGCGTACTATCACGGACTGGCATAACTTTACTTTTAAAAACTTTTAAAGTGGGTGAATTTCTTACATCTGTTGATAGGTTATTCCAATCGCGAACTGTCATGGGTAAGAAAGAATTGTAATATTGGTTAGTTCGGGAATGTACAGGTCTCAACTGATCTGGGTTTCGAAGGTTGTACGAAGACGTTGATCCAATATTTGGGGGAACGAGATTTGTTAGATATTCTGGTGCAAGACCATTTATCATCTTATAGAACATTATAAGCCTGTGATCGCGTCGTCTCTCTTCTAGGGATGACCAATTCACTTCCTGTTGAAGTTTATCGAGAGAGACCAGTTTGGTTGCTCCCTATACAATCTTGTCAAGCATATCCTTTTCAGCCATAGAGCAATTATTCCATATAACATCTGCATATTCTAGAATTGGTCGGATGAAAGAGGTGTATATTACTTCAAAAGATTTCCTATCAAGAGTAAATTTCAGTCTACGCATAATGTGAACCCGTTTCCATGCTTTATTTACATATTAATATGTTCATGCCAAGAGCAGTCATTTGAAAGAATGATACCCAGATGTTTGTGGTGTTCTTCTTCCGGTATAATTTGGCCATGCATGTTTAGAGATGGGTGGTTTTGCTGATGCATTTTTCTACTTAGCAATAGGCATTCGGACTTTGCAGGATTAAAGTTAACTTACCACGTATCGGTCCATTCTGTTATTTTTAGGATATCAGATTGGAGGAGTTCTGCAGCAGCATTTGGGTTTTCAACAACAATATATAAACTGGTATCGTCAGCAAAAAGACGGATATGACTTCCAATGTCAACGACAATATCATTTATAAAAATAAGAAACAATAGGGGTCCTAAAATTGAGCCCTGGGGAACTCCAGCATTTACTGCATCCCATGTAGATTGAGTACCAGGTAGCACAACGCGTTGTCGTCTTCCGGAGAGATAATTAGAAAACCAGTCTAATAATTTACCCGAAATACCAGCATTTTCTAGTTTGACCAACAGGCCTTTGTGCCACACCTTATCGAATGCCTTACTTATGTCAAAGAAAACCGTTCTCACTTCTAAACCATTATCGAGCGCTTTACAAAATGTATCATATAAAAGTGTTAACTGATTAACTGTGGAGTCACCTGGTCTGAATCCAGACTGAAAAGGGGACAAAAAGCGGATAGCATTTAAATGATTATAGATGTGTTTGAAGATAACTCTTTCGAAAACCTTTTCAATGCAACTGAGTAATGAAATAGGTCTATAGTTGACAGGGAGACAAGTGTCACCTTTTTGTAAATAGCACAGACATTTGCGTCTTTCCAAGTTTCAGGGACTATACATGAACGAAGAGAGTGATTAAAGAGAGAACATAGAGGGATTGATAATTCAGCTGATGATTCTTTGAGAATACGGTTGTTTATTCCATCTGGGCCCGATGCTTTTCCTGTAGAGAGATTATTTAATGCGTCTTCTATTTCTTGTGGACTAAGAACCAGAGATGTTAGGAGATTAGTGTCAGTTGGAGGAGTTGCTTGCGGGACTTGCTTACCACTATCATTCAGTAAAGTTTGGCTACAAAAATAGTTATTCAGCAGTTCAGCTTTTTCGAAGGAATCGTGTATAAGATTGTCAGTATATGGACTTTTTAAAGGAGGTATAGTTTTGTCTGTATTTGGTGAAATAAAATACTTAAGAGTAGACCACCAAGACTTAGGTGAGAGAGGTTCGGATTTAAGTTTGTTTGCCATTTGTTCATAATAATCAAGTTTAGAGCGTCGTATTAATGTGACGGTGTCATTACGAAGTCTCCTAAATTTTGCCCAAGAGGATTCGCTGTTAGTTCGTTTGGCCTTCCTGTATGCACATTTACGTTTTCTAATAGCTTTACGGACTGATGTGTTCATCCATGGTACATCGTTGGGCGTATATTCTGACAATTTTATTAGGGATACATTTGCTGCTGATTTCTAAAATATTTTCTGTTACATTGGTTGTATGAATATTGATGTTCTCATGGTAACAAGAGTGCCAGTCGAACTCACCTAGTGCTTGTTTCAGAGTGTTAAAGTCACAACGGTCATACATCCATATATGTCTTGAATAGGAAAGCAATTTTGGCTTGTGAAATTTCAACAGAGCAAAGACTGGACAGTGAAACCGAACATTTTGGTCAAGAAAATGGTCACCGACACCAGAAAATAAAACATTTTCAGCTTTAGATACAAATATAAGATCTAGAGTTGAGTTTGATGTTTTTCGGTAAAATGTGTCGGTTCATTAATAAGTTGCACAAGATCGTTCTCTCGACAGAGTGAAGCTATATTTAAAGATGCATTACGATTTTGAGATTTGAAATTAAAATCTCCCGTGATGAATATATCGGAAAACCCAGTATCGACAGCTTGTGAAAAAGAGTCTTCTATTAAGCTATTATAAATTGAATCAGCGTTAGGTGGCCTGTAAAAGTTGCCAAAAAGTATCTTTTTGTTGTTATGCAATGTAACTTCGACCCATAAGCATTCTAGGTTATTTGGTTCAAGATCAGCTCTATGCTTGAAGTGAAGATTGTTTTTAACATATATAATAACACCTCCATTACTGTCTCCGTGTCTGTCTTTGCGGAGAGGCAAATTAAATGAAGGCATTTTCAGATTTTCATCGGAGACAGAATCGCTTAACCAAGTTTCTGTGAAAGCTAGAATATCGAAGTCCAACAACTCAACAGACAATAAATCTATCTTGTTTTGAATACTTTGAACATTATAATGTACGAAAGATAGGTGGTTGTGAAAAATAGAAGGATCGTTAAGAGAAGACGATACTGAGGACAAAGACGATCTAGCTGTACTGGGTCCAGGGTTCTTATGTACATCGCCACAATTTGTAATAAATGTATGTACCCATAATACTAAAACACTGACAAAAAGTATCCGAATACAACCGTAAGTAAACAATAGGTTTGAGTTAAGACGAGACAGGTTCGGGTATAATTTTCTTGGTTGCTGTATGACATTATGTCTAGCTTGAGTTTTGGATAATATTTCATAATGTAACGAAAATAAGAGAAGCAGGTTGCAGAATACTAACATGGTAATGAGGAAGTGAAACGTCAGTGGGATGTTTGATGGAGATCTATAAGTATACATGGTACCTTGATTTAAATAATTATCGCTTTTCGGAGTAAAGCCAAAAGAATACTGAGAGCTAACCATTTTCAAAGGCTAAAAGTCGGATGACCAAGCATTTCATATACTCCGAATACACGAAAGTCAACATACTGAATAATATAATAAATATTGTGCCGTTGGTTTGAAAAGAAAATAGAGAGGAAAGCAAAAGAAAGAAAATGAAAATGATAGATAAAATGTGACTTAAACAACAAGGATTCATTCTTGTGATGCAGTAGGACTATTCTAGAGTACAAAAAAGTAGTAAAACAAACTTTCAATTTGGTGAAATATATCACAAGTTGTGGTATACAAATATTATCAATATGCATATAACGTACTATTGTACTAGATCGTATTGACAAACCCCTATACACGAACATGCGTACAGCGCACACACACACTCACGCATACACATACCAACACACACACATATAACGCGCACGCACACACAAACATATCACACAAACATATTACTTAAGTTAAAATATTGAAACAGTCAATATACATTGAAACTAAGCTACTCACACACACACGCACACATTAGATAATTCATATTGATATTGTTTCTTTTACATACCGAGACTTTATCAGTACATGTTCACATGAAATATTCACAGAAGCGTATTTACAAAAACAACTGAAACAAGCAACCTAATTAGATTATGAGAATCATATGAGATTATAGTTGTATTTGAATTACATAAACATAGTTACTTCATGAAAGAAAAAGACTTTGAAAATGATGTTGTCAATATCGTTGTTCCGGTAGCGCATCAAAAAAAAAAAAAAAAAAAAATAAATAAAAAAATAAAAAAAAATAAAAAAAAAAAAAATCCGCAACTTTTAGGCCTTTATCGAAACCGAAAGTATGAAGACCAATATACGGATAAAATATATCATTTCTCACCAGATGTCTCAGTGCGCATTAATATCATTATCATCATTATCATCAATGTCTTAATATCATTTGATATCATCAAGGTATTTAACTATCTCAAGATGTCAAAGATGTCAACTTTTTTCTCCCTTAACATCGTCAAAATGAGATTTCCGTATCAGTTCACTTAACATATCAAAATCATTAATATTTCATACATAATTATAGATATTATACAACTACTTGTTAATAAAATATTATATGATATTCCAGTATTATCTAACTGTTAATCAATATGCAACACAAAAAGCTTGTCAAACAAATTACACAACTATACAATATCATCAAAATGACTTACATATTACATAACATCATAATACACCCAACATTGCATGCCCACTATATAATATCATCAAAATGACTTACATATTTCTTTACATCATAATACAAAAAATTGCATGCCCACTATATAATATCATCAAAATGACTTACATATTGCATTACATTATTATACACCCAACATTGCATGCCCCCTATAAAATATCATCAAAATGACTTAAATATTGCATTACATCATTATACACCCAAAATTGCATGCCCACTATGTAATATTATCATATGACTTACATATTGCATTACATCATTATACACCCAAAATTGCATGCCCACTATATAATATCATCAAAATGACTTACATATTGCATTACATCATTATACACACTATATAATATCATCAAAATGACTTAATATTGCATTACATCATTACACGCCCAACATTGCATGCCCACTATATAATATCATCAAAATGACTTACATATTACTTTACATCATTATACACCCAACAATGGGTGTGTTACATTCTTTACTCATACTACCGAGCACGCCACGTAGTTTTTGTTGTGAAGTATATTTGTAAAATTGTTCAGCGTGGGTGGATTACATTTAATTATAGATATAACAGAGTAACCGTTATCATTATTTTCACGAGAAAATCGTGCACGCTTATGCAAAGCGGTAAACTATTCGTTGATATAGACAAAGTTCAGCATCAATAACTTAAAAACTCAGCATGACAGCAATCTACCACAAGGAACATACCCACGTTACTACATTTCACGTTAAATACCAAAAACTCAAGTCCTAGGCATCTCCAGAAACGTCTTTAAACATCAAAATTCTGTCTGAACAAAACATAAACAAGTTACCGCCATGTTACCGGAAGTGTAACATTTATTTCACTATTAATACTTTGTTTTTTGCTTGAAAAATATAGAGTGAAATAAAGTAAACAAACAAATTTTTATCAACGTTTTCAAAATTCGTTATTCTCAAAATGTTTCTACACAAGGTAGATTTAACGACAGTTTTTTCAGCCCACTGGAACAGCTTTTAAAGAACGTTTCTATTGGAAACTCTGAGTTGAAAACAAATTTAACCACCAAACATATAGACAAACTATATGATAATCTTTGTATTTTTTCTTGACGTGTTAGAGTAGAAAAATTATTTACATGTACAAATTAAAATTATAAAAAAGACACACGTGTTAGGCATGCAACGACTACGCGAACGCTGCGCATACGAAAGTAATTCAAATTTATACTCATCGATGCGGTTTAGCCTTTAAGTATAAGAGTAAAGTAATGATATTTTAATCTAGAAATATGCCATAAAGAACAAAACGCAACAATTATTTTTTAATTGGCACACGTAATTAACAGTCTACGGTGAATGGTCATTGAATATGAGTCTCAATCTATTTTTAGACTTGGAAAATCCAATTTAGCCAGTTAATATGATACTACCCCCAGTGAATATGATTTTATAAAAAGTTCTGTTGACTACAGTTTGGACCAATGAGATTGCAGCTATTTTTAGATCATATAACAATGTAGAATAATGCACGGTTTGAGTTTAAATGCGTAGTAATATAATCACGAAGGCCGATAGGCTTGAGTGATTAATTACAAAGCATTTAAACGAAAAACGTGAATTATTATACTTTATTATATGATCTAAAAATAGCTGCAATCTCATTGGTCCAAACTGTAGTCAACAGAACCTTTTATAAAATCATATTCACAGGGTGTAGTATCATATTAACTGGCTGAATTGGATTTTCCAAGTCTAAAAATAGATTGAGACTCATATTCAATGACCATACACCGTAGACTGTTAATTACGTGTGTTAATTAAAAAAATATTTGTTGCGTTTTGTTCTTTATGGCATATTTCTCGATTGAAATATCATTACTTTACTGTTATACTAAAAGCCTTAACCGCATCGATGAGTATAAACTTGAATTACTTTTGTATGCGCAGCGTTCGTGTAGTTGTTGCACGCCTCGCACGTGCGTCTTTTTTCCTGCGCTTCAACGAGGCAAAATTTGTACATGTATATAAGGTTGTACTTTTTCGTGATTTTTTTTTAATCCTTAGCCTATTCATATAATAAAACAATTATTGACTAGTGAGCAATTGAATATGATGTGATATTCACCAGCAGAAAGTCATATTGACCTCGGCTATCGCCTCGGTCAATATGTCATCTGCCGGTGAATATCACATCATATTCAATGGCTCACTAGTCAATAATTGTATAACAATGCACTCAGAATTGATATCTATTTCCTAAATAAACAAGTACTGAAATAAATATAAACTTCATTAGTGATTTTTTTCGTGGGAATTATATAAATAACACATGGCTTTGGCGTGAAAGAGGATATTGTCAACCCGAGCACTGGTATATTATCCCGAGGCGCAGAGGGGTAATATGCCAGATCGATCAACCCCGACAGCCATGTGTTATTTATTTTATTATACCGAAAGACCTACAAGTCTAGCTAAATCATTATCAGAAATGTTGGCAAACGGCACTTTTTTCATTACTCAAAAGCTATAAATATGGTATTGACAAAACTAAAAAAAGAAAGATAGTCGAAGGGAATTAAGTAGTACAATATGAATAACGGAGTTTGTAGGTGTTATATCCCTTACACTAAAAAAATCACATTGTAACAAAGTTTAGTTAAACTTAAAAATTTGCTGAATATGGAGTTATGCGAGAGTTATGTACCCCAGGTTGATATAAGAAATATTCCCCGGGGAATATATCCCAGGATGGTGATATTCAATCAGAACATATAATAAGCCTATGGGAGTTTTGCATTGAAGGATATATTGAGGTATAATAAAATTAATTAACTTACTATCGGGAGAAGTATTTTAAGACTGACATGGTTGAATATCATCGATAATACCTGGAAGATATATATTGAATACATTGTTCACATATCAAAGAAGACAATATATGATTATCAACAGTAAAATCAGTAAAATTAAAATAACTAATACTCGTTAGAGGGAGGTTCAAATAACCTTCAAGCTTACATAAATAAATAAAGGATATTAAATGAGCCTCTGGCAAGCATAACATTCCCTTTATCACATACATAAGACAAGAACAGTTACTGTTTAAAATTAGAAAAATAATAATTTTCATAACATTTAGCGTGTCTTTACGGTTTGTTTGTACCACGCAAATGACGTGACGTCAAAATATTTGCAGTTTACGGAGTGGCATTGCGGCACAAGTATGTGTTAAATGAAATCTTGTCTTAATTACACTCCTGTGTCGTGGTTGATGTCATAAATATGTTTATAATATACATCTGTGTTCTCATATGTTTATCAAAATAAAAGACTCATTTTATACTAGGCCTATTGTCAATGTAAGATGTAAGATATTGGTTGTATTAACCTGTACGTCTTTCGCAAAGGCAATTATATTCCTGCATATACGTGTGACACATCTTCCAATCTTTACTCACGTTGTCACATTCATCCATTTGATCTTGATCGACCAATTTAATCCCACTTGACTTGAAACATTTACATTCGCCCTATTGTTATATAAAGATTTAATTACTTTATATGAAGAATTAACACAGCATGTTTCTCAATGGGTCGAATTGTTTTGTGAAAACAAAAAAGAACGGTATTGTATATGATACCACACTATCACATCGTTTGGCCATTAATTAGAATATTCAAATCGATATCTTGCCCCTCACCACTGTGGGTTCGAATCCAGACGGGGACTTTGGATTTTTTCATGTTAGGAAGCTATCCCGCTAGCAGAACGTCGGTGGCTCTACTCAGGTGCCCGTTCGTGCATGAAATAATGCACGGAAGGGGTCTTCCTCCACCAGAAAAGCTGAAACGTCGCCATATGACCTGTACTGTGTCCGTAAAACAAACCAAACGGTCAGTGTACAAAACCGAGTTTGCAATATATATGCTGATTTTCTCAATATATGATTCCAATTCTTCAATATATTGTTCCAAAGTAGCCATGTATGGAACCAGGTGTCCTTATATGAAACCGAATTATCAATATATTAATTCCTTTTTACAATATATGAAACCATTTCATCAATGTATGGAGCCAAAATATCAATATATAAGTTGATTATCACAATATATGATACCAATTATTTAATATATTGAACCAAAGTAGCAATGTATGGAACCAGGTGTCCTTATATGAGACCAAATTATCAAAATATTAATTCATTTTTACAATATATGAAACCTTTTCATCCATGTATTGAACCAAATTATCAATATATAAGTTGATTATCACATTATATGATACCAGGTCTTCAATATATGGTACCAAAGTAGCAATGTATGGAACCAGATGTCCTTATATGAAACCGAATTATCGATATATTAATTCATTTTTACAATATATGAAACCATTTTATCAATGTATGGAGCCGAAGTATTTAATTTATGAGTTGATTATCACATTATATGATACCAGATCTTCAATATATGGATCCAAGTAAGTCATGTATGGAACCAGATGCCGATATATGAAACCGAATGATCAATATATTAAATCAATTTTACAAAATATGAAACCAGCTTATCAATGTATGTAACCGAAGTAGCAATATATAAGTTGATGTTCACATTATATGATACCAGTTCTTCAATATATGATACAAAAGTAGCAATATATGGAACCAAAATGTCATTATATTGACGGGACTTTTTAAAAGGCTGTATTCTATCCTTGCACCGGTATTACAATTTCGCGCCAATATTCCTTGTTGAACTGTCAAAAGACCAGTGCATACTGCACATTTTCTAAATAAGGAAATATTTGAATTTAATGTCACATTCACTTAAAATGGACTGGGCAGGCAAAACTTATCATTACATATGTACGAGTTGTATGTCATAATTAAAGCTACTGAGTCGTACATTTACAAAAACATTAAAACATATATATAAGTTCATCTCGACCTTTACCTTTGATCAAAAATGGGCATGGCCAGTAATACACATCAAGGTTAATCTACTCACAAAGTTTAAAAATAACCAGTCAAATAATAATTAATTTCATGAAAAAGTGTATGCATTGTAATGACAGAACCCAGTGACCTTGGCCTTTGACTTGTTGACTTGAAAATAGGCTATTTTGGTTCCATATAATGAAAATTGTTATCATAGAATGTAACATCAACTTATATACTGCTACTTTGGTTCCATACAGATATAAAATGGTTTCATATATTGTTAAAATGACATAATATATTGATAATTCTGTTTCATATAAGGGCATCTGGTTCCATATATGGCTTCTTTGGTGCCATATATTGGAGAACTGGTATCATATAAAGTGATGATCAAGTCATATATTGCTACTTTGGTTCGATACATTGATAAATTGGTTTCATATTTTGTAAAAATGAATTAATATATTGACAATTCGGTTTCATATCAGGACATCTGGTTCCATATATGGCTATTTTGGTACCATATATTGAAGAATTGTTATCATATAATGTAATAACCAACTTATATATTTCTACTTTGGTTTCATAAATTGATACATTGGTTTCATATATTGAAAAATAAATTAATATATTTATAATTCGGTTTCATATAAGGACATCTGGTTCCATACATGGCTACTTTGGTACCATATATTGAAGAATTGGAATCATATATTGAGAAAATCAACTTATATATTGCTAACTCGGTTTCAAACACTGACGGTATGGTTTCATATATTGTAACTGTGGATTAATATAATGGATTCCGGTTAAATAAGAAGGTGTTTTCAAGTCATATATAGTCGAAGTGAACTTATATATTATCCAAATGGTTACATAAATTGAAAAAGAACAATATCAGACAGCCATGGCTTTCCATATGTCAGTGTTTATCCGTGCTGTTCAACTTCAACGGGGAGAATGTTTATAATGTCTGTAGTACAGCTACGGATGAACACTAACTTACTTAGTGTCAAGCTTTACTTGGTCGCATTAATATTCACTTTATAACGTCACGACTATTTTTACGAAGGCGGTTAAAAATTATGAAGAACTAAGAAAAATAGAAGGTGACTATGAACGGAATTTGATAAAGTATTGACTTTTGTTCTTCTACTAAAATTTACACAGATCTTTTTAAAGAAATAAAGCGTTTTCATTGGATGACAAATAAAGCTGGACACTTTAGGACTGCAATAACTGTGTTTGCGATAACCAAAACTCATTTTTTGAGTGACACCCCTTCTGGCATTTTGTAACAAAATTAGGAAGCAATGATCAGTGAAATATTGTTACCTGATGGGAAAATGGTTTTGTGCAATTTCCAGCAATATTGCTTGCTGAGCATACGCATATAGGTACACCTTCAGGTCTCTTGTATAAGTCATGTGTGTCTTTGCTATAACAATTGTAACTTTCGCCTTCACAGGAATTGTTCAGTATACCCATGATCGAAATCGTGCAACCTTTCATGTTAACGGAAAAACAACAACATATTTCAACTGTTTTATTATCTTTTGTTATATATATATACAAGTCATCACATGTAGATCATCGACGCCCAGATCTATATCTAGGATCTTACGCCGGCTGCATGCATAGACCGGAGTATTAAGCTAGTGGGTAATGTTTACGTGTAACGAGGCTCTGCCGATTTTCCGCTTAACATTTACCCGTGAGTTAGATATCCCCGTCTGTAAAGACATCTGATGTTTGATTCTTTTTCTTGCATATTACATATCAATCATATTTCGGAAAGAAATAACGACAACTAATATTTTCATGTAGCACTTTTTTTTCTTAAATTAGTGTATGAATTTACACTTTCATTCAATAATGTCAAACTGACATCGTTCTAAGCTCGTAATTCATTCATTAAAGCAATTCATACATTAAGGACGCTCGGGCATGATGTCATTTAAAGCACGCGACTTGACTTACATGGAGGTGTAAGACAGGTTTTTCTAGCACAAGTGTTAACGGTAGATAATCCTGCCTGATATGCAAGAAACTCAGGTGTTTTCATCTTTATCAATATTCAGATAAACGTGTTTACAAAAATAAATAAAAAAGCGCAAACATTTAGTTTCAATTGATACTTACATGTCACATCTTGTCGACAGTGTGAAATCTTGTCGTTTTGTTTCATTTCGATTAGTTCTGGTAATTCTAAACATTTGCCATCACACAGAAGACAGCCTGGTTATAGAATGCATGCGAATTTTAACCTTAATAACATATTTTATTTACTTATCTTTGTTTAAACTGTATATTTGATTTTGTCAATCTGCTTTCAGTACATTATAAACGTGGTAAACAGTGTTTGTGTACATATACATATTGTTTTATTTCCGCAGTTTTGCATGCATGAAAGTGATGTAAATATTTTGAAAACAAAAAGAACATTATTTCAAAGGAGATGTACAAAAATCTACTTACTGCTATTTTTGACACGTGTATCATTTGGACAGTGCATTGCTACAATATAACATTATAATGTTGGTTATAAATATCAGCGTAAAAAAAGAAATTGAAACTTTTATCGCATGGTTATAAGGATTTTTTATTTCTTCTTACTAACCTATTATATTCGGTACACTTTCAACTGTATTGATATATAACAGTGCTGCTTCTACATTGATATATTTAGGGACAAACTTAACTGGTATATAACAGTTGAGTTTTGTTGTTTTTTTTTGTTTTGTTTTTTGGTTTTCGTTGCACCTGTAATATATTAGTGTAATCAGGGTATCACACATTTTATGATTTATAACATTATTATATAGTTTACATATAGTTTATTTCAAACAACTTCACAGTAAATATACAAAAAATATCAATAATTAATAAATGTACACAATACAGACATGAAAGCTGAGCTTATAAAGGCCTTCTCCTTACAGAGTTACGGCGCATAAAATAAGATCAGCTAGTATACGCGACTTGCATGAATTTTATCTGATTTTACATCCTTATCTTTAAGTAAATTAAGTCCAGATTGATTCTAACATTAAGTTTAAATCTTAAGCAAAATATAATGAAATAAAAAAGAATGATAGTACAAGACCGCATTATTTTCCTATTAAATAAAATAGAATTGAAAAGAAATAGATGATATTTGTTTGTTTGTGTGTAAGATGAAATTTTAATTTCATCGAGACAGCTTTAAAAACTCGTGAGAATACTGTTTTTTAGGTGCACGAGATGAAATAAAATTACACCTTACACAACAAACAAACACATTTTCTTAAAAACAAGTTTAAATGAAATTTCCTTAATATTTACTTTAATATTTAAATCAGTTTTCCCATTAGTCGAATTTCTCATAAAATACAAGAAGTCTTTGGCTGAAAAATAACTTCGACAATCAACGTTAATGGCGATGATATCATTCATTTTATTGATCGCTTGTTTTAATATTAAAAACAAACAATTCTAGTTGGAGAAAAAGTCAAACAATATATCCCACGGGGGAGGAAGTGTTACACGATGCATGGAGTTCTTATGATAACTTGTCAACGAGTTCTTGTGATAACTGGCACGGAGTTCGTCGGACAACTATTGTTTATACTGCAAACCACTCGTCAAAAATGGTAATTTTCATCGTTAAAAAGTGAGTTTTAGGTGCTAAATTAATTTTAATGATTAAGCTTGCCTTACATATCGCATTATGTGTCAAAAACTAATTCATAGTCCATTTTTCATCACCTCTTGCTTAAAATCTAGTAGTTTTGAGTAAAATTTCCAAGTTATTGCCATGTCGCAAGTATTGGCCTGTTAATTTCAAGTCTTCATCTTTTCTTAATAATTACCTGATTATAATGCAAAATTGCCAACATAAAGCCCTGGCTAACAAATTTATATCCGATTTTTCAAATAACCCGGAGTTCTTGTGATAACTTTTGTTACTGCCAATGTGTAACTTGTGCTAAATCACGGCACGTTTTAGCGTTTTGTATTATTCAATAAGGTTGTAAATACTTTTAACCTTTTCCCTTATATAAGCGTGTTTTGACGGCTTCCCCCCCCCTTTTTGAGGCCTCAAACAGTGAAAAAATGCCCTATTTAGGCCCCAAACACTGTTTTTCGTTTGAGAAATGTTGTAAAAAAAGTGACCACTTTTTAGGCGCCGTCCCCCATCCAAATATTACATCAGGGTTTGCCAGAAGGGGATGTGCCCCCTTCTGCTTCGGGGGTTTGAAGGAGGCGGAGTCCCCCTCATCTCCAAGAACATTTTGGACATGTGACAGGCTAAAAATGGTCTCAGGTCGATCTTAGGGTCACTAGTAACTGACGCTGAAAAGCCTTTTACTCTATCTCAATTCAGTGAGAAGTTGCAGCACTTTGAAATCAGTTTTGATGGAAATAAACAATGCAAAATAGTGATTTTTTGCAAATTTGAGACGTCCCCCCGTTGCCATGGTAACAGGAAATTTATCATTGAGCATGCTGTTACAGAGACTATGGTGTAATCAACATTTGTGCCAAGTTTCATTAGTATTGAAGCATTTTTCACAGTTTCATAGCAGTTTGAACTTGTTACAGGAGGCTTTTCAATGAAAACGGTCATTTTTCGCAATATGCTCATGGGGTAAAAGGTTCAATGTAATATGCTCATCCTTTGCACAAAAATGAGGATATATTGTTGGTCTTGATCGAGTGTCTGCAAAGGATAAACAGGTGATAGGCGATCATCTACAGTAAAGATCAGCGACAGTATCATGGCGTAAACCACAAAACAAAAATGTCCCAAAACTTACACGTTGTTCTCAAGCAGATGATATATAGTTGTGCATCGCTTATCTAAGGGCTAAGTAATTTGTATTATTTTATACCCAAATAAAGAAGTACATGTATAAAACCGATATGAATTGAAGTACGTTTTCTTCTTCATTGAAAATTGTGAAATTATATTTTGATAATTTTCACTGTGAAAATAATTATCAAATATAATTTTCACTGATAAATCAGTAATCCACTGAAAAGAATAAAATAGAATAAACAGAAAGAAATTTGATAGGGAGAAACTTTCAGAGATATAGAAATGAAGAAATAACTAATATGTTGATCATTCGGATAGTTCGACGATTGAATAGGAAGCATACAGATGATGTGAGTTTATGTGATTATACTCAAGAGAACCTCCTGCTTTCTCGGATGTAGGTATGAACGGTCTTAAACAGTTTTCTGTTTGCATCATTGCTAATGTTTGGGTCTCCATTTAACAAAGATTGGAGAGTTGCTGAACAAATGGTAGATATAGTGTTAAGACGACAGGCCCTGCTGTCAACATAGCGTTGTGGTAATTTCTTTTCCACTATTCCACAATGACAAAGAGGAGATGGAGAAATATTTTTCTTAAATATATGCAGATTTAGAGAACTACATTCAGTACGGAGTCTAGCAGTTCTGTCGCCTTCATAGAAATAAATCGGACATTTAGGGCTGTTTCGTCTCAAATAGGATTTGAAGGAGGGCAATGATCGTGAATGTTGTACTTTACTATGAAGGGCGTTCCATTTGATCAGGGCAGTTGGCAGAAAATTATATTTATAAAGCCCGGTCGGTAATATAGTTAATATGACAATGTCACGAGCAATCTTCTGAAAGATGGAGGCTTTGCATGAGAAGTGAAGGATGCAAATGTTTATTTCTTTTACGCGAGATACCAATAGATTCAGATGAGTTGAAGGTAACCAGCCCATTTTGGCCTAAGCTGATAGTTGTTAGTTAAGATGGTAGTAAGATAATCATTAAACAAGTTCAGTAAACAATCGTCTACTCCAGCAGCTTTCAACTTAAAGAGAAGACCTTTGAGCCGAACTTTATCAAACGCTTTACTCATATCGAAAAATACTAAGTTGAAGCCATATTAATTATGTTGTGCTGGTTTAAACAAATAAATGCGTTCAACTTTTCCTCGACACAACACAACAAGAAAATAGGACGATATTTATTGGGAAAAGATGGATCGCCCGTTTTAAAAAACAGTACAGACATTGGCTTTTTTTCATGTCAATGACATTGTCGTCTGAACAACGTTTTCATGCATTGTAACACCGTGTGGTTAATAAAAAATATTCATTTTGAATTGTTTGTGGTTTTAAAATTAACATTAACTAACAAACTAACATCAATTAGATCATTAAAGTATTAAAACAATATTCTAGACTTGAGCACATATAAATGTATTCCAACTACATGTATGTATTTTTCGTAGTATATTAATTAATGCTAATAGGAGATCTGTAATAATCAATCTGTTACATGTACTACTAATATACATGTAGTATGTTTTTAACTTTGATTTAAATGCATGATAGAATTGATCAATAAATGCTCCAAGCTGAGACTTACGTTCCAAATGCGGTATTATCTCAGTCTTACATCTGAAACACGACGATTTGCTTGAACAGTTACTCGTATTAGGACTAATACGAAAATCTAAAACATTTAAAAAAGTTCTATGAACAACATTATACGTATCGTATGTAGAATATTATAATAATATTATAAGCTTTTTTTATTAATATTTACAATACTAAGTGTCAATGTTTATAAAAAAACATTAGACACATATTTTGAACTGTTAAAAACCACACTGTTATTGTGGTCGAGTATCAGGGTCTCTGTTCGTCGCATCGTGCAAGTTAATTACATAAACTTGTAATCTGGCGAAAAAAATGGGTACTGACACGTACGTTCAACTTATTCATGCGTGAATGGGAAATAAAGAGTAAGAGAAATGGAAATTACCGATTCCCTTTTCAGCTTCCATAAGTGATGCGAGTGAGGTATATCCACTGGCAGCGGATTTATCCAGTTGTACACTTTCTGTGGATTTTATATGTGTCGCAAAACATACCAAAACAAGTACAAAAATTACAATAATTGCAACCCATTTCTGAAATAGAAATGCTTTTTTAAAGAAGTAAAGACTTGAAAACAAGATCAATGTGTAGAGAAAAGTCTTCGAAGCATAAATTAAATTCACATTTATAGTCTGATTGCGGGTTACTTTTTAAAAACGAAAAATTATCATAGATATTATACTCTTTTGGTAATGCCATCGCCATAATTGTCCAAAACGTATTTCATGTCATTAAGATTTCAAAAACATGGCCGTCGATTGAGTATCGTACTGTGAGATGGCCAGTGATGGCTGAAAAGAGTGCAAAGAAAATCGTAAGATTCAGTGGGCATCAGGTGACTGGATGGAGTAGTGGAATTTTTAAGTTAGAAAATTATTTAAGAAACAAAAATAGACTGGTTTTATTTTGGGAAAATGTTCATTCTAACGGCATTTTTTAGTACAAGAAGGTAGTTGGGTTTACAAACCTATTTCGAGTACGCTAAATTCATTTTTTGCTCTACCACAGCTGTATTTTTAGTCCTAGACCTTTAAAAATCAATTTCAAAATGGCCGCCATTGATTTTTCAAATTTTACTTTAATTCTCCCATGGGCGAAATACAAACACATATTTTTAGACATTTCAATTTAAGGCTTTGTTATTTTTAGTCTGCTGAAGTGTGAACGAGAAGAATAGATGCAAAAACAATAAGATTTATTGCGCCAGCCATCTTGGATTTCAAAATGGCTGACAATTTCCTATGTTTCATACACTGTATTATTATTAAAGTAAACAAGCACAAGAATGCATTTTATTAGGCTTGTTTTCTTTTATTGGAAGTGCAGTGATACTAATTCAGACTAACAAGCGCAGACTTTGAAAAACATCTATAAAAACTACAAACTTTATGGTGCGAAAAGGTCACAATTTATACCGTAAACGAGAGTCATGTTTGCGTTCACTTTGTCATTTAGATGTTATCTTTATACTTCTAAGAATAATACAATGCATGTTCTTTAAATCATTGCGATGTTTTTTAAATTGGGTTTTTATCGCCCTGATGGGGGACCTGCTCAAATGTCTGTCCGTCTGTCTATTTATCCGAGCGTCCTCTTGTGTCAGTTAGGTGTATTTGCGATCACAATTTGGCGTTTAGATTAATTCCGTACACCCCGACCTATAGGATTATTCATTGGTTATGAGAGGCAAAAGCTGCTTTTGGAGTTAGAAACAATTATGAAGATCACAGACTTCTTAACAAATCTCTCGGTAAGAGCTTGTCCCCGTCTGTCCGTTTTTAATCCTGTCCATATCTGTCTTTTTTGGATAAATTTTGAAATAAATTGCATTAATGTGTGGCACATTGAAACTATGTCTTAAGAAAGACCCAGGTTTGAAGCTCTACTCCTCAAGTTAGACTTGAAAAGACGTGCATTTTAGTATTCTGTCATTAAGAGATGTATTTTGAAATAGTTAAGCATACATATACGGTATAATAACGGATTGGGAAATGATGTACAATGTACTTAATATTATTACTTAATCTTCAATCAGGGATACCATAAAAATTGTTTGGTTATTTTTTATGGTCAATGTCAATTGCGCAAGTACATGTACTGGGACGTGAAGTGCTTGAGAGCCAATTCAACTGTCCAAAGATCAGGGTCATGTCTATCAAGAAAGACAATTTTGTAATAATTTATTAGAGAGGACTAATGTCAACAATATTTCATGCACGAATTAATATTTAAAAAAAGTATTAGTACTTCCAAAAGAACTATAGGAATCGCTATCCAGGCTGGCATTCGAAAAATTTTTTTTTTCATGTAATAGACTCCTTTCCTGAATAATAGAGTTAATGTTTCTTCTTGTAAGAGAAATATTCCATATAGTGTTTATCCCATAGAATCCCCTACATACTAGTGCCGAGCTTCGTGCATGAGGATAGCAATTCGTTTGCTTATATAGGTAACCCGACAAGAACATAGTGGTTGAGGCCCCTGTTTTGGGACTTTCGTTGTCTATTTTGTTATCATGTTGTATTAAATTATCTGTTTTGATTGACCTAGAATTGTATGGAACTTTGCGTAAATTTTTAATTTGAAAAGGTCGTGTCATGCACAAGCATGGTTATGTCTACAGTTAAACTTCTATATTATAAGTCATGTCATAAACGTGACAAGATGGTTGTGTCCGATCTATAACTTTCTCATTAATTGATGCCTTTTGAAATAATTCTGCATAAATATATGGAAATATATGGCACATTGGGACAATGAGTCACATGTAAAACCCAGCTGATAATGTAAATCAAAGACCAAAATCATACTTTCACTTCAAACAAAATGTTTCTTTAAAGTGTCTAAAAAGTCTGGTTAACGATTTTGTCATTCATGGATGAATTAAAAAAATCATTTGGGATAGATATGGTGCCTCTTTGTAAGACGACATGTAGCGTACAAATGGTCCAAGGTGGTCACACTTGTATTTCAAAATTCATAATATGAGAATGCATTGGTGGCCATGTCCAGTCCATATATGTGTTATTCAGCGAGAGCTAAGAATAAATAAGTGGTATTTTGAAACAATTTGTCTTGAGTGAGAAAAGAATTGTCGCATAAAGTAAGATTTCAGACATTAAAGGTCATATTTCATTTCATATAAATATTTTGAAGGAAATGTCCGGTCATGAATTCTGTCATTAATTGGGTGGATATTGACGTAACTAGGCATACATTTGTGGCACTTCAGGACTTTTTGTAATGCTTAAACACTAGGTTGCTAGCTAGATAGGTCAATTTGGAACATTGATGGTTGTGTCTATATCCTTGTCATTTATCCATGGATGCTTTTTAAAATAATAAGAAATACTGACAATATAAATAAATGCTTCTAAATGTTTCTATTTTTTGTAAGACTTGTAAGACTACAGTTATTATTACTTCAATTTAAAAAATGAAAAACAAGATTAACAAGGAAATGACTGCGGCGTTCATTGAACGCAACACCAATACGAACCAGCAAAAAAAGGTAATGGATCCTTTACTGAGCCGAGCTTCAGAGACATTTCAAGTGGCACGCCCTTGTTTATCTTTGTTTTACATATTTGTCAGGAAAGTGCAAAAATAGTTGATACACATTTTAGTGACTAAAGTAATTCTATGGAGTGATAGTTGAAAAATATGAGATAAAATAATTATATTGTGGCAAATGACATCAAAATATGTTATAACACAATGGAATAAGATACTCTATCAATTTCTTGAAAGATAGCCAAGAACAAAATAAGTATGAAGATTTGAATATATCTAAAGTAGTCACTTGAATGATTTTAAAACATGTGATAGAATAAGGCACAGCGTCCTTTGGAAAGTGACATATTATGTAGACGTTGATATTAACAAAGGCAAAACGCAAAATTTCTTGTTTTTTTTTCAATTAAGTAAATTAAAATTTAAAGACATAGGCTTCGACGGCATAAATTTTTCATGATTTAGTAGCAAAAAAAAACCATAATGCTCTATCAAATCATTCTGTGGTAATAAAAAGGGTAAACAGCAGTGAATCGTCAATATATTAGTTGCAGGATTGGGATCATTTAACTGTCTAATCTTCTATCAAATACCTGTAGACCTATAATGTTTTCCTCTATATTATACATTAACCGTAAGACAGTGCAAGCTCGTAGACTGTTTGTGGTTCATGTTTGCGAGACTTTTTTTCAAAGTAAAAGACAATAAAGAATCAAATGACTTTACCATTTATTTGAGTTTATTTCAATTTATAAATATGTGATCTGTTTTAACCACGTGTAGGCGTGTTAAAGTTTGATTGATAAATACGACCCTTTATAAAGTAGCTATATCAATACAACAATAAAAAAATAACATGTAAACACATCTGCGGATGTTTCTAAATTCCAAATTTCGCAATTTTCCCCTTTGATATATGAATTCTGCTTAGGCCGGTGCTAGGGTGCTCGGACGGTAACTTGCAATTTCCAGTACCGTCCATATATAGGCTCAATCAAATCGAACCTACAACGTTTTCAATTTTGCCGTTTTGGTCGTTTTTAGGGATTCTGTTTTGTTTTTGTTTTCTATTTTAAATCGGGTCGTACAGTACATATTGTTGCAAAGACATGCGGGCCCAGAGACATAGTCGCTGACCTGTGAAGATGACAGGCAATATTTAAAATATTTATATAGTGACCTTGACTCTTGGCATTCAAATTATAAAATGATCTAGTTTCCATAAAGGTTTACACAAATGCTATTCTATCAAAATAAAGAAAACTTAAACATCTAATGGTAAATTAGAATCTGCAGGTTTTATGTAAGACATCTGGGATCTCAGATACCTGATATAGATTAAATGTCCATGAAGAATGACCTGTGATAGTTTGAAGTAATGATGTAAATTAAAGTGTGCAGTATACGTACACAGTGTGTACAATTCGACATGACATGTTGCTCATATCATTATACAATTTTTGATACTCATCCCTACGGTTTAAAAGCACTTTACTTATATTTGTTAAAAATTAAAGGTGTCCATTTTGAAATCAAAGATTGCCGGTATAGCAGTCAATTTGAAAAGCATGTATAACTATCAGCCAATTATTCCTAAAAGTAATTGAAACTTTATTCCATGTAGAACGGACATACGATACGATATGTACCAGAAATAATCATTTTTTTAAGTAGACGGTTAAGGACAATGGCGGCCATTTTGATTTGACCTTTAGATGGTCAAGGACGTCGAGTACAGCCGTGGTAGAGCAAAAATGGATTCAGCGTACCCGAATGATGTAAAAACGATTGACTACCTGCTTGTACTAAAAATGCCGTTAGACTCTTAACGGAGTGTCTTTTCTGAAAATCAAACCCGTCTAAAACAACTGCATTGTTTTCTTAAGAACATTTATAATTATACAAGTCTCTGGGACAATTTGTCACTTGGATATATACATTTTTAAAAACGTTTTTGTCAGTCCTGGTATCACCATTACATCTCTCTCAATAAAAATGGAGGTACATTTAATTGTCTTGT